ACAAGGTCCACAATGTCTGCACTAGCCCAGGCGGGTGCCCGCCTCTTGCGGTCCCGGGCAAGCTCCCGGGAGCCGCCAGCCTGGTCCCGGGAAGAGGGGGAGGGCTGGGAGGCATTGGGTGGGTGGCTCGAGCCGTGCCAGGTGCAGGGTCTGCTAGCTGGGTGTTGGCAGGCTTGCACCTGGCACGGGCATCGTAGCCAGTCCGTGCACCTTTAAGGGGTCCGGGCCGGGAGGGGGGCAGACGAGTTTCCCTGGTGTTGGCCAAAGTGACCACCAGGGAAAGCTGGGGAGGGCTAGCCTCCCACTAGTTCGAATTAAGGGGCTACACACCCCTTAATTCGAACTAGTAAGTTCGAACTAGGCTTAGTCCTCGTAAAATGAGGTTTACCTAGTTCGAACTAAGCGCTCCCCTAGTTCGAATTACGTTCGAACTAGCGGAGCGCTAGTGTAGCGCCTATCAAAGTTAATTCGAACTAACGTCCGTTAGTTCGAATTAACTTTGTAGTGTAGACATACCCTTAAAGACTAACAAAACATGTAGATGGTATCCTGAGCTTTCATGGGCAAAACCCGCTTCTTCAGATGCCTCGAGTATTAGAAGTCCAGATCCAAGAAACATATTTAGTGTTTTTGAGGGCTAGGAGCATTAATCAGAAACTGATCAGAGTAAACCATGACTAACCAATATGATTAGCTTCTATGATGGGGTAACTGGCTCTGCAGATATGGGAAAATCAGTGGATGTGGTATACCTTGACTTTAGCAAAGCTTTTGATATGGTCTCCCACAATATTCTTGTCAGTTAAGGGAATATGGATTGGATAAATGGACCGTAAGATGTATAGAAAGCTGACTAGACTGTTAGGCCCAATGGGTAGTGATCAACGGCTTGATGTCAGGTTGGGGATCAGTTTCTAGTGGAATGCCCCAAGGATCTGTTCTTGGACCAGTTTTGTTCAACATCTTTATTAATGACCTGGATGAGGGGATGGATTGCACCCTCAGCAAGTTCGCAGATGACACTAAGATAGGGGCAGAGGTAGATATGCTGGAGGGCAGGGAAAGGATCCAGAGTGACCTGGACAGATTAGAGGATGGAGCCAAACTTTTCAATTTTAAATTATTTTTACTTTATATTTCATAATGTAAACATTTTTAAAAGTCAAAATAGAAAACAATATTCTGATTTTCCCAAAAAGGACCATTTAGAATCATAGGATTGGAAGAGACCTCAGGAGGTCATTGAGTCCAATACCCTGCCCAAAGCAGGACCAACCCCAACTAAATCATCCCAGCCAGGGCTTTGTCAAGCCAGATCTTGAAAACTCCAGGGATGCAGATTCTACCACCTCCCTAGGGCACCTATTCCAATGCTTTACCACCCT